TTGAGGGGGTGGGGAGGGGTTTGCGCAACCCCAATCAACTTTCAAGAACCCCGACCCCCCCCCCCGCCCTTTGGCCGCCATGCGGCCGCAAAGTCGCACGGCCGCGCGGCTGCCTCCGAGGGAGATTCATAGGCTAGACCTGCCCCCTTGCGGCTCGCTTGTTGCTGCTTTGATCAACCAGATGAGTAACTCATGGAATAATGAGCCGCACGATAAATACTAGCGGCCCGCACAACCGCCAGTGCGACTCCAAAACACAGGTTGAGACCAACACACAGTCTTGGTCGCTTTGAAACGAAACAACAACGCTGACCACAAGCGTAGAAGCCTAGTAAGCTTAGCAATCAGTGGACCGGGTAGGCACAATTGGCAGCAAGATACAACAGCTTGTTGCCACAGTTGTCCTTATCCCTCGATTACTCCAACAGCAGCAGACGTAGAATCCTGTAATCGCCCAGCATGAGCCATGATAAATGGCACCACCACTACGTAGCAGCAAGTCCATCGAAAGCAAAGCGAAGTAGCAACCTCCTCAAGGGCCACATCGGCCTTCACGACACCACCCCAAATGGGACCTCCCAACTACTGCCGGTAGAAGCGGTGGGACAGAGAGGGTGGTCTCGAGCAGTACGAAAGTGACCACACTCGCAGACCAAAGCCCACGAGCCCGATGACAACTAGCGACCACTCGATGACGATGAAGGCCTTAACCACAACCACTCTGGTGACGACGACCTTCAGATAGAAATGTGTCCCTACTCACCTAATGTACAAGACAAAGGCTAATCTTTCGCATAGGCACGGGGAGATACGCCACTACGGACAGTTCTGCAAGGAAGCCTTGGTGTGAGTATGGGCCAATGCATAGTCAGATGCGAATGTAGCTGCACACGCCGTGAAATAGAGGATGGCTACTCCCGTCGGTAGGAAAAGGAAAGTCGTAATGGAACTTTCTGCTAAAACAGGGGAGTTATATTGCCATCTTAATGCTCCCCTTATACATCATCACTAGGTAAGTCTCTCCCCTATATGCAACCCCCGATCTCAATTTTATCTCCTTCCTCGCCTCTTCTCCCCGTTGCCCGGTACTGTCCTTTAACGCACCGGGTCGTTTAATTTGACCAGGTTCACACAATTCTTCTCCGCTTCCTTCATGATTCTTCTTCGCGATAACCATGCAGCCTCTAATTACTATGCCGCCCAGACCAAACACTTAACTCTTATTCTGACTCCATAGATCGACTCGCAGGGTTCAGGAACCCCAGAATTGAGTTTTGATTTGCCCGAATTCGTTGAAGATCGGTCGGACTATTCGTTTTTCACTCCTCCATATCCACTCGCTCGCTCTTCCCCACGCACCTCCCTATCTCCCCGCATGACCTTTTCCTCCTAACTCCTAATTTATCGACCTTCTTCTAGATTTGACCTCCCCGTTTGATTCACCAGGGGCAAAAACCCCGGGGTCGCCTCTTCCCTCGCCTGAATCCAAGAAGGATCGGGTGAGATAGTCGCTTTCCCACGTTGTACCCACCCTTTTCGTTCTCACTCATCCCTCCGTCACTGTTCTTCTTTGCTCTTCGTTGACGTCAACAACATTCCGTCCAACGCATGTTTTCCCAATCGCTTAGCAGGCCATCTGACAGCTCCGACCGCCTTTGAGGAAACCTCGGAGAAAAAAGAAATCGGTCAATAACCGATCCGACCGGCTCGTTGCTTTTATACCCAAGCCTGACAAGCAGTTAGCCCATCAGTGCTACTACGGCCTCCTCCCGAATCCGACAGATGTTAGTACCCCAGTATTGTTGCGGCTTTCGCCACATCGCCCGAATGCTACTCCGCCTGGTAGTACTGTGGGCGGACCCGACCCCCTTCTAAAGCTAGGTTCAGGCAAGTGCAGCCGATTTTGTACAAGTCGCCCTTGAGCACATGCCACACTTATCCTCTCTGTATCGCTCCAATTTTAACAGATGTCCGGAAAGACATAAACGAGACCAAGCCCAGACCTCTGACCATAGTGCCCAGAGTCTGTCGTCAAAGCCAATTGCGGGCTACATTAGACATTACAAAAGACTCAGGATAATACGGCCATTAGCGTGGTTGTCGTGAAGGTCGAAATCCGCTCAGGAGTGTATGATACTCACCTGCCGACTCAGTCAGCCCCGAACATGCGGGGACTCGGTCGGCTCCTAAACTCGAACCATCCCATCCAAAAGGATGGGTAAAACAAAAAGTAAAAAATAAAATAAAAAAATTCATGACGAATAAAATCGCAAAACAAGCGGAGAAAGGAGACCGTTTGTACCACCTTGGCCCCGCAGGTAAACAAAACGATGGGGGATAGCCCCATCGGGCCATCAACCTCTCGGTCCTTCTCGCTGCTCGATCACTCTCATGCCGCTGCTTGTTGGCCTCGATCCTTGAATCTCCTAAATAAAAGTCTGACACCTTAGCCAATAATGCTCGGCCCAAGGCTAGTTCTAGCACTAGCGGTAAGCTATAAAAATGATTACCGCTACACGTGCGGGTCTATTGAGACATTCCAAAGCCACACCTCGGCCTATCGGCCAATCCTACGACCGTCAAGCCCCGCGCCTACCACGTGTCTATTCCCTCGCATACTCTGACCATTACTCAATACCACATTGTTGTGAATGTCGTCCTCTTCACGAGCGCTCATCTCGCGGTCCAACGTAGCAATCAAAAGACAAAATCTTTTAACTCTAGTTTAAATTAACAACAAAAATTTGGTTGGCAACCTCACCAGCTTTACAATCATCAACTTAAAGAGAGATCACGCGCACCTTAAACATGCGCGCCCACACACTCTCTATTTTTGGTCAACCACTTAGTCAGTGTAATTGAAACACAACCGTGACTCGCGCGGTGTACTTAGACTTTAAACCAAACTTATTGTCTGTCACTTGCAAAAATCAGGGCGGATACGATTGTAAGGGTATTTGCACCGACAACGGGCATCAAGAAGGGGCGTATACAACTCAATCTTCATGCGGGGTTGGTTAATGAAAAAAAGAGGTACACGGATATCTGAAACCACTCTTACCACTATTTCAGTGCCATACAGTCAGTGTGCAATCATGATCATTTTCGTGGAATTTGCTGCGAAGGTAGAGCCGTTTCCGTTTGAGAGACTGTCTATGCCAGTTCGAAGATTTCTTCCTGTACTGCTATAAAGAGAAGTGGCATCAGGTATTTTTTCCAGGTGATGTCCTTCGTTCTCGATGCTATAAGTTGTCGTCTTCTCTTCATCGCCGTCGGGGGTGAGGTGGAGCCTGCCCCATCCATCCCTATGATCTCACGTTCCACTACCTCTGAGTTTGAGGAGGACTCGCCTTCCGCTTCCTCTTGAATTCTAAGTTCGTGCATGTCCTCACTTACTCTGCGTCGTAATTTGGTTGGCTTAAGTTCTGCTCTCAGTCGTGTCTCCCCCTTCTGCTCCTTGGTGCCCGACGTGCCAACTCCTAAACTCTCGCCCTCCGTACATGATCCTTGTTCTCGTGATCGCCGATCCCCTCCAAAGTGTCCTCCTCCTCCCATCACTTCTCCCTGTACTGAGGTCTTTCCCCGACCCTCGTGAGTTACCTGATTCACTCCCTAGCCTATTGGTCCTAGAACATTGGATTGTCTCGTATTGAAGTCGCTTGCGATGGCGTTGAACCCCCCCTTGTCCCGACCGCACTTGATGGGCCTAAGACACCTGAGTACACTAACGCTTGGGCTGATGACGGGGCCTTGGAGGATGGGGCTTTCGACGACGAGGCCTTTGACGATGATGGAGAGGTCTTCGCAAAGGTATCACTAGAGGAGTCTCTAGTGTGACGTGAGCTTGGTTGGCGGGAGCTGCTTGTTGACGAGGCCTGGCTGTCTGGGTCGCTAAGTGGAGGACTCAAAGATCTTCTGTGTTGCCGTCTCGGGCATTGATCTGCCAAATGAAAGAAATGTCGACACGACGTTCTTGCGTGCATGACTTGAACTTCGATGACTTGGCCTTGGAAGGTCGTGAAAGCGTAGGACTCCTTTAGTTTTGGAAGTGCTTCGATGGCAATGTCTAACAGCATGTTGATTAGCCTAGGTGTGCGCGTGTCTGCCTCCGGCGGATATACTTTCCATATGGGCCCAATCGTGTGCTCCACTGCCGCCTCCAGGTAGCAATAGGCTTCTAATGGGACATCAATCACTCGGATTCAAAAGTACTGTCTATCTTCCTCTCGTCTAGCATCCTTGATCTCCGACTTTGTCATCCAAGGCTTAAAGGCTATTGAGTGCCATCTGCCCCTGAGAGCTACTCTCATTTCCTTCTCCCCCAACATCCAGTCAGTAACCGCTTTATCCTTTGCCACATAAGAGAGAACGTTGCTTGACTCTATACACGCGGCCTCTTGTTATTGCTTCATCAAACCTCTTCTCCCCTAGCCAGATATCCTCGAAGACTCTAATCACTTCTTCCTTGAGTTTCTTAGGCAGGTTCTTTGAACCTTCTTGGAAGATAACTGTTACGGTTCGTTCTTTGAGCCACTTTATCTTGATCTCGTCCAAGGACGGGTTCAGGATGAAGTGTGCCTTGGTCCCATCTTCCCTAAGTTCCCCAATATCCCAGCCAGACGGTACAATCCCCACGTCGTCGTAGCATTTCGGCAACATATCCCGTACTCTTTCTTCCTCCGCCCATTGCGGCGCCCAATAATTGGTATGAGCTGGAGGAGGAGAGCGGTTTTGTTCCTTCCCCTCTTCCTCTCTTTCTATCTGCGGCGTTGTGGCTCCTTGCGGGATTACCTCGTCCTCCCCCACCATTCCCACATCTCCCCCATGTGGCTGCGGCTCTCCACCTGCCCCAGGCTCCACTGCAATGACCTCTGCCTCCATCACGACTTTAGGATCGGTCGAGGTAATCTTCCTCCTCCTGCGTTGACCCCCTGCTGCGTTGGTTTTGACGGAGGAGTTCCTTGATTACTGTTCGTGATAACTCCAGCTTCTCCCCGTTGACTCTTGGAAGACTCTGCATCTTCTTGTGAGGATGATAGAGCCCCAAGGCTACTTGATTGTTGTGACGAACTCTTGATTCCGGAGTCTTGTTCGATGCCTGAAAGTGGTCAGGACACTCCAAATTGCCGATCTGGATATGGTGGGCTGGTGGGCTAGCCTACATGGAACACGGTGGCAGTCAATGTTGTCTCCTCTCGCCCCCATGCAAACCCTATCGTCAACTTCGATAGCTGACGTGAGAGCCGCTAGACCGGCCGAAACCGGTAGCGGCAGAACCGAGCGCAAATTACCGCCGCGAACTGGCGTCCCCACTGCTGTCTCCCTTTCCCCGCTTCCATCCATATCACCTCCTCTAGTGGGCTGAAGCGGAACTTTCTGGGAAAAAAGCAGAAAAAAGAGTGTGTAAGTGTGTGCTTGTGTGCACGTGAGCATTTGAGAGTGTGTGTGTGGCAGTGTAATGTAGGTGGTCAGAATGTCGTCCTGCGCACGGTCCCACTAGGAGCAGATCGTCCCTGATTGTCAACCGTGCAGATCTGTAGTCCCTGATTGTCAACCGTGCAGATCTGTCGTCTGGACGGCACCCAATCAACTGGCCCACCTGTGAACTTAGCTCGCTGCTGTTAGCGGGACCGTAAAGCTGGTCGCTGTGCGCCTTGTTACCCAAGTTACGGGTCCTTCGCTACCCGAGTTACGTGGACCCGCCTACGTTTCCTCCTCTCAACTGCGTCCTCAGGAGAGCTGCTTTCACCACTTGAGTGATGCGTCCACACGCGAATTATTGTCTTTCGCCAATCACATCAAGAGCCTCCCCTCAGCAAATGTGTACAATGGAGCATGTAACTTCTGCTAGAGCGCGGATAGATGCGCTCTCTATAGCTTCTGTCTTTTCACATTTGGCGCGCGGTACGACAATTCGAGTACTCTGGCTGGAACGGCCGGCTTCCCAACTTGCGGCCCCCCGCGCTGCTTGAGGACCGGGCGGTAACCAGAGGCGCCTCTGTTCGTCCGCGCCAGTCGCTACCTGCAAACTTTCAACGGTTTTTTCCCCCTTCGGGGTTCGATCTCCAGCGGCAGCGGGAGCCGGCATTGCCGGAGTGCCCTGCTGCTTTTACCCCAGGGAACGCCTGATTTACCGAGGCGCGACAAATACAATAGAGTGGCAGGGTTCATTATTTTGCTGTCGTTTTCTTGAAGGTCCCCGCCCACGCCCAATTGTTTCTGTCCAAGCCCAGGGTTTTCTCCCGCTAACGCCCCCTCGAGTCCGCCTGCCACGGGCGCTGGCAGCCTTGTTGCGACCCCTCTGTCCAACGGCGGCCCCAGCTTTCCCTTTTGTCGTTTTGCCTCTCGACAATTTCCACATTTCCCCACAGTCGACCGCTACGGTCTTCTCTTCACCCGAATAGAACGCCCGGTCGTTTTAGCCGTATCTGGACCGGAAACTGCACCAAATACGGCTATAATGACCGGGGCGTTCTACTCGGGTGAAGACGGTAGCGCGTGGATGCGAGCGTCCCGATCGCGACTGCGAAGCTTTGCCTGCCCTCGGTTGGTTGGGCCAAGCGTGAGCGACCTCGGTTGGTTGGGCCAAGCGTGAGCGACCTGTGCGCCAAATCGCAGCGCCCGTCGGGAGCGAGATCTGCCCGAGATCGGGCCCCCGAAGGCGACGGCGCACAGCAACGTAAAGTGGCCCTGCTCGCGCATGTGTGCCACGCCGTTTTTGTCGTATTCCGCCATATTTAACTGATTGCGTCGGGTCGGGGAGATCGAGCATCGGGACCTGCAGTAGATAAAATTAACCGCGCGCGGGGTGACAACAACCTCGGAGGCGTCGGCTCGGCGCTTGGATTTGGAGGCGACGCCTTCCTCTCCCAACAGTAAGAAAATAAAATTTCTGTAGCGGTTAAAAATTGCTGCTTCGCTCCGCTTTTACACTCCGGGGATGGAGGTTTCGCGCAGTCAACAGCAGTTGGGTCTCTCGGGCACGGTGTGGCGTCCGTTGCAGTCGCGTTTGACGCCACCGCGCGCGCGGTTGTACGGTGGTGGTTTGCTCGACGCCCGCCTTCTTCCCGCGGTCCTTTCTACGGTGGTAGGAATGATCGTCGCTCGCCGCCATAGGAATAGGATTGCCCGCCCGCGGTACATTCCTCGTTACCCGGCGTGTATTACTACGTCTGGAGATTCTACACGGATACTCTTCACTTACGGTTACCGTCGTGTAGCTTCAATGTTGGAGGGGGGCAGGGCAGGGAGGGGCGGTGCAAGGAAGGGTTCCTTTGCCTTGTGATCCGGCTGTTATGGCCTCTTACTGCGATAGGCGGGGTGGGCGTGAATGGGAGGGAGCAATCAGCGACAGTGCGAGGGGTGCGGGTGCGGCGAGGCGTACCGAACTCTCCTCTCTAGTTCTTCTTCCCGGTGTGCGCCACGGTAGGCGCGGCGGGGAAGGAAAGGGAACGACCAAATTGTCCCGACGGCAGATAAGACAAGGTGCTGACGTCGGCGCTCATTGGCGAGGAGCGTCGACAATTACCGGCGAGCACAGCGGTAAGGAGAAGGAAGAGACGGGGCGAGAGAGAGAGAGAGAGAGAGAGAGAGAGAGAGAGAGAGAGAGAGAGAGAGAGAGGTGGGGGGGGTCAGGGGAAAGGGGGGAAGGGGACGTGTGCGCAGCCGAGGGAAACCGCGCTCGCGGGAATATGTCTCAGGCGAGAGAATCTTTCATCTTGAGAACGGCACCGAGCACAGACGAGTCTTTGAGCTTGCCTTGGAGCAAGTGGCCTTGGGCTGGGGCGAGTTGACTGGGAGTGTTGGTGTTGGTTCGCTGTCTGCGTTGATTAAAGGTGGAAGTAACTGAGCGACTGTGGGTGAAGAAGAAAAGGCGGCGGATGGACAAGGGGGGGGGGAAGAAGGTGGTCGAGGGGGAGTTGTGATGGTGCCAGGTTGTCCGCCTTGATCTTCCAGTTTTCCTGGTGGTCGGTGTCGCCTGACTGCTTGTCCCTGAGGCAGCACACCGATCCCTTGAGGATGGCGGTTTTGTCCTCGTCTGCGGAGACATATCCGTAGACGTCGCTCCGATCGGCAATGATCAGTTTCTTACATTACGCAAGCAGCAGGAGAGTTGTGCTCAGGCGGGGAGGGCTGCGCGCGTGTGTGCCCCCCCCCCCCCCCCCTCCTTCCCCCCCTCCGCCTCCCGCTCCCTCCCCTGCCTCGAGGTCAACATTCCGACTCTACTCTCTTCTTCCTCGGCTTCTGTCTTTTGCCGCCAAGAGTGCCAAGTCGCATGTTCCACCACTTGTCTTGTTGGCCAGCGAGTCTGTCAGCATCCTATTCTCCCTCCATTTCCGCTGTGTCTGTTCATCTCCCGCTCTCTCTCATCGATCGGCTTTCGTCTCCTTCCCGCTGTCTAACGCGTTGTCCTCACCACGTCCTTCTTCCCGCCATCTTCATGCCCTTACCTACCCGGCTGTCTCTAGCCTTGTTTGTCTTCTGCCCTGTGCCTTTGCCGCTACATTTGTTTTCCGTTTCCGCTGCCGCCGTCGGCGAGGTTCGTCCATCGATTTGAGAACTCTACATGCGTGCCCTCGCGGAGTCCGCGCTTGTCATCTCCAGAAAAGAAAGAACGGAGCTCAGGACTGCTCAACAAGGTCCTATCCAACGGATCATCATCATCATGCGGAAGGGAAGGAAGGTATGCGAGCGCATCGTCTTCATCATCATCATCATCTTCAACATCATTATCTTCACCATCGACAATCACAACCCAACACACGATTAGTGGAAAAAGCCCAATCATTATCAGCAGCAGCAGCGAGAGCAGGGACACGCAGTCCATCGGTAGGAACGAAAGACGTACAGTAATTAAGGGAGTCGTTAGCAGAAAGGGTAGAGCAGCAAGAGCAGTGAGTGACACGAGCGGAGGAGCGTCAGCAACGGTAGCATCGTCAGTAGCGGGAAGAGCAGCAGCACAGCATTACGGGATGCAGGGTCCGTCGATTATGCAAGCATCTCAGCAGTTCGCTGTAGCCCACGCCCCTCCGTCGCAGATTCTGTGGAGTTTGACCCAGGACCATCTGCATCATCAGCACGAGGTGGGGCAAGGGGGATCGTCCTCGGGGTCCCCTCCTCCTCCTCCTCCTACTACTACTACTACTACCTCTCAGTGCGTGAATCCGAGCGGGGCAGCATTTCATCAGCAAAACCATCACCATCAGCAGCAACAGCAGCAGTCGTCACCCCCCCTGGGGCAGCATCAGCAGCTGCAGCACCGACACCACGCCCAGCAGCAACCGATCCATCACCCCTCGCCGCCGCAGAGGACCGCTTCTCCCCCTCCTCATTCCACTCCCTCCGCCACTCCGCGTCCCCATGCTCAGCGGCAGCCGCCCCCGCCCCCGCCCCCGCCCCCGCAGCCGCAACCCCAACCCCAACAACAGCAGCATCAGCATCAGCATCAGTATCAGAACCAGCCGCAGGAGCAGGCAGAGGGGGAGTCTCGACAACAAGAGGCGGGGCAATCTCATCATCAGCAGCAGTCTGAAGATCAGTGTCAACGACGGCAACCGCTGTCGGGTAGCGCGGTTCCTCCAGCTCCGCCGGCGGCGACCTCGTCTCTGGCGTGTCCATGTCCCCAATCATCTATGGGTCGAGTGGTTAGCGCGCCCGACATCGCGAATGCGGGAGCCGCCACCTCTGGCACTGCTCTCGTGTGCTCGGCGTCACCCATGTCGCGGGGTGAAAATGGAAACACGAGGGTAGCAGAGACAGGAGATGAGCACGATCGGCCGGGAGACTCGCAGACAGCGAGATGGCCCAGGGACGAGGCGGTGGCCTTGATCCGGATCCGAATAGATATGGAGCCAGCGTTCCAGAGCGCGAACAGTTTGCAAAAGGGGCACCTGTGGGAGGAGGTGGGGAGGAAAATGAGCGATCTTGGGTATCAAAGGTCGGCGAAGAAGTGCAAGGAGAAGTGGGAGAATGTGACGAAGTACTACAGGAAGACGAAGGAGAGCAGTAAGAGTGGAGGAGCGGACGCGCGGAACTATCGGTACTATGCTGAGCTGGAGCGATTTTATAGAGAGGGAGGGGAGTCGGCATTGGCGGCGGCAGCCGCTGCAAGGTCGTCGCAAGGAGGAGATGGAAATGGCGGCGCGTCAGAAGAATCTGAGGAAGAAGAGCATGAGGGGTTGGGAGGGCAGGAAGTGGAGGAGGAAGAGGATGAGCTGGTTGAAAGCGGGGGGAAGAGGAAGAGGAAACGTCGAGGGGACGTGGAAGAAGCGCTCCTGTCCATGGAACGGATGATGAAGAGGATTCTGTACTGTCATCATCAGCAGCAGCAAAGGATGTTCGAGACGATCGACAAGAGGGAGAAGGACCGCCTTGCAAAGGAGGAGGAGTGGAGACGGCAGGAGCAAGCGCGATTGGCGCACGAGCAGAAGCTGCGTGAATCTGAGCACGTTTCAGCCGCTAACAGGGAATCGGCTCTCGTCATTATCCTGCAGAAACTAGCGGCAGGAATGGCTCCCGGATGCCCGCAGCCATTGTCGCTGCCACTGCTTGCGGCATCTCTGTCTTCGCCAACGAAGCCGTCCGTCAATGCATGTGCCCTGCCAACGCCAGCCTTGGGAGCGGAGGCGTTTCCTCCGCAGCAGGCGCACGGGGTGGCGGGGATGACGATGGCGATGGGGGGGGGGACGCCCGCGACGGTGTTTGCGCCAGCGGGGACGGCCATCGCCAGAGGCTCCGCAGCGACGCCGGCATCCACGCTGCTGGCGGGGGGGGGCGCCAAGGGGAGCGGGCCGGTGGCGACGGTTGGGAGCGAAGGTGGGGCGGACGCGGGGGCGGAGTCGCCTGCAACCGCGGCGATTCCGGTTGCCAAGCGCACTCCTTCGGTCACACCGGTGCTCGCGCACGACCCAGAAATAGTCCAGGATCGTCAAGCGGAGAAGAGGTGGCCGAAGCAGCAGGTGCAGGCGCTGATACAGTTCCGGAGCTCAATGGAAGGAAGTTTCCAAGAGCCCGGACCGAAGCAGCATTTGTGGGAGGTGATCTCTGCGCGTATGGCGCGACTGGGGTTCAGTCGAAGTGCGAAAAGATGCAAGGAGAAGTGGGAGAACATAAACAAGTACTTCCGCAGATCAAAGAGCAAAGGTCGTGTGGATGGGAAGAAGAAAAAGTGCCCGTATTTCGCGTTACTGGACGAGTTGTACAACGATAAAGGCAGGGGGGGAATGTTGTTGGCGGCTTGCTCCGCTGGGGAGGAGGGAACCGACTTGCAAGCTGTCAGTGACGGTTTGGAACCCGAGGTCGGGCAAGGGAGAACGGAGGGGATCACTAGTGGGGGGAGACAGGCGGCGGGTGGAGGAGATGGGGAGGCGGCACTGACGGGGGAGGCGTCAGATTCCGGCGGGATGTGTGTGGAAATGGTGTCCGGGGGAGGGGGAAGCACTGGGGGCGGCGGCGGGTTTTGCTCTTCGGAGGAGGGGTTGCGGGGAGAGCTGTCCGCCTGTCTGTTGGATGCTGTGGAGGGAAGAGTCAAGGAGCAAGAGATGGCCATGGCGACGGCCAATGCGGCAATGGGGCTAGGAGCGGAGGGGGTAGAATCGCAGCGGCGGACGTTTTCAAAGGCTTGGCATGTGGTGCTGCATGACCACCAAACCACGGGTGGGGAGCATCGAGGGGAAGGCCACTGTGCGCGGGACTCGTGGGGAGGAGCAGTGCCGGCATCGGAGGGAGTGGGACAGGTGGGGGTAGCAGCTGACAAAGGGATGCGCGAAGAGGAGAGGGGGGGGAACAATGCATCGACTGCGGACGAAGGCAGCGGGGAAGATGCAGAAGGAGGGGGGTTGCGGGTCAGCGGAATGATCGTGCAGGGGGAAGCACAATGCGATAGAGAAATGGGAGGAACGGGGGTAGGATTGGTGGATGAGGAGAATCAAGCAGTAGTTGTGAAGAAGAAGAAAAAGAAGAAGCAGAAGGGTGCGCTGGTCGGTCCGGGGGTAGGCAAAGTACTCGGCAACAAGTTTGTGACAGCAGGAGGAGGAGGAGGTGGTGCTGGTGCTGCTGCTGCTGCTGTTGGAATGGTCTCGAAATCGACGAGGATACAGCAACTGGAAGGGATGGTGAAGGGTTTGGTGAACAGTCAGCAGGAGCAGCAGAAACAGCTAATGGAATACTTGAGCAGATCGGAGCAGGAAAGATTAAAGAGGGATGAAGAGAGGCGCCAACAAGAGGAGGCGAGGCTGGCCCGTGAGCAGGCACGAGCAGCTGAAAGGGAGTCTGCGCTTATGGCTCTCGTGCAAAAGTTGACTTGCAATCCTGCGGAGCTTCCCACTCAAGGAACCGCAGGCGCTCTCCCCTCTCTCTCGACTCCTTCTGAGAATGGTGGAACGTGAGATCGCAGCGGTGATGACCTACAGCTTCCTACATGTGTGTCTGTGTGTGTGTGTGTGTGTGTGTGTGTGAGAGAGAGAGAGAGAGAGTGAGAGAGAGAGAGAGAGAGAGAGAGAGAGAGAGAGAGAGAGTGAGAGAGAGAGAGAGAGAGAGGTGTTCTGGAGGAAGGCATTTTTTGGCGGATAGATGGTGCGGGCGGGTTGCGTAGGTTGACAGGACACACCTAAGAAGGGGGAAGCGATGGGAATGACACTTGTTGGCCTCTTTGGAGTCTTGTGTGCAGGAGTGAGGAGTTCTCAGCGTGCGTAACTCGTTGGCGAGTAGCAGATGACCAAAAGGAGTGATAGAGGAGGGAGGGAGCGAGGGCAGTTGTGGTGGATTGAGCGAGAGGCGTGTTGTTGTTTCCTCCCCTGGATTTGTCATCCTGTGGGCCTGATTCTAGAGGCTTGGAGTGGATTAGTACTACCTTCCCGAAGTTTTTTGCCCTCGTCTCGTCGACTTGTCAGTGTCTGTTGAGAGACATTGGTTCTCTTGAAGGGAAGCGAGGTTGGTCGTTTGTAGCTCCCCGACCTCGCTCTCTCCTCTCCTCTCCTCTTTTTCGAACGTCGTCGTACGTCTGGGACGGCTCAAGGACTGACTTCAACACACAGCACTTCTCCAAGCAAAAGGGCTTCCCGTGATCAGTCGTAGGTCTCATTTGTGAAGAGCATTGTGAAGATCATTGTGAAGATCATTCATTGTGAAGAGCATTGTGAAGAGCATTGGACGATTGAAGGTGGGTCATGAAGTGAAGAGCATTGGTGTCGTGAAGAGCACGCGGAGTCAGAGGTGGTGGTGTCTTTTCTTGAGTGGAGTTTGCTTGGTCAAACCATTGAGTGAGAGAGGGGCAAACCATCGCTTCAGAGTGGGAGAAGTGGAGTACAGAGCGCGCGGGGCGCGGATCCTGACGGAGGAATGCGCGGTCGTGGGGAGAGGAAACTCGGATGTGATTGCTGGCTGTGGAGGGAGAAGTGAAGTGGACCACAAAGAATGCGCGGCGGAGAGGTGAGCGCACGAAATCGCGCGCAGCGGCGGGTCTTGAAATCCGGAGATTTTGGCGCGCAGCAGCAGGGGGGAATTGAAACCGGAAATCGGAGGAGAGAAAACGATGGTGTGAGCGTTAGTGGAGAGGAGAGGTGGGGTAGGTATTTGCAGGGACAGGTAGGGGGGTGGTAGTTGAATGGGGGTGTGGATAGGGAAGGGAAGGGAGCAAAAGTTCAAGTTCACAGGAAGCCAGAGGGGGGCGGGGTATCAGAGAACAACGGGAAGAGAAATAACAGGGGGGGGGGGGGGGGGG